GAGACATATATATATATATATATATATAAGCCGTGTACCTAGAGAGAGCTTATTGCGTACCGACACTCCACCCAAATTTGCGAGCGATGTCCGTTTTGAACTAGTGTAATATATTTTTTTGTTTTTTTTTATTGTTAGAGTGAGACCCACTAACTCTTTGACAGTTCAAATCGGATATGGCACACAAAATTTTCGTGCGATGCCTACATGCAAAAATTTTTCGTACCCGGGTCTATTGATTGGCATCTTTGGTATAAGACGCCTCAGGTCGGGGGGTTTGAATCCCCTCTGATACAGTGGAATCAGTGGAACTTATGACACAGTTGAACTTAAAGAGGTGGTGCTCAAATTATTAGGCATTGTAAGAGTGAATGGAGGGGCGTATAATAGCCTGACGATTGCAGAGCATATGCCTACCAAATCATCATATGCCTATAAATGACAACGAGTGGTAATTGTATAATTATTCCAGGAATGTGAAAATAATATAATCTATTCTAAAACACATAAATGAATTACAAAATTACAAAAAAAAAAAACTTCAAAAAAATGAGAATAGAAATTTTCTTGAGCCCCTATTTTCATTTTATTATTATTATTATTTTCCAAAAAATAGAGATCAAAAGTTTAAATTTTAATTCAAAAAAAAAATTATATAATACTTACACTGAACATAAAAATTCTAATCTACATTATTCCATAAAAAAAAGGATAATTCTATACCAAAATATATATATATATATATATATATATATATATATGCTTGCTACTCATAAAATGATCATCTAAGATTTCACTGTAAATGTTCATATTTGAGCAATAATTAGAAAAAAAAATGTAAAGTGATACTCATGCAGTGTCCGGTCTACCATTAATCACCGCAATTAATTTAAAAAAAAAAATTAAAAATGAGATCCACCGAAATATATTTTTAAGATACTCGACGGTGAAGATTGGACATCGTATACAGATTAATTTTTCCATTTAATGATCATCAATAATAACAATAATAGAACAATAAAACAAGGCGAAGCTATCAAAACAGAAGGCGAGAAAGAGCAGATTCCCTTCCCAAAAATATTTTTATTTTATGAATAGTAAGTATTAAACACACTTAAAAATCAAGAACGCTAACAGAACTACAACCCTCCGTCTCAATCATCTCCATCCCCCCCACAACGCCCTGCAACTCCAACATCATGAAACACATCCAGCCCAAAATCCTCCGCCTTCGGCAACCTCATCAAAAACTCTTCCAGATCATCCAACCCCATCCCTCCATCGAATCGGGCCACCACCTCCTCCTCCTTCTTCCGCGACTCCTCCCCTCCCCTCTGCGTCTTCAAATCGGCGTGAGGCAGATTGAGGCAGGCGCAGTCGCCGTAGAGAGATCGAGCGGCGTGGTCGTAAGCTCGGGCGGCGTCGAGGGAGGAGTTGAAGGTGCCGAGCCAGAGGCGAGCTCCGTGGTTGGGCATGCGGATCTCGGCCACCCACTTGCCCCACGTTCGCTGCCGGACGCCGCGGTAGGAGCAGGAGGGATTCTCAGGTCCACCTTTGCCTTTCATGCAACCCTTGCGCGATCGTCGGAGCGGGCAGCATTTTTTCGTCTTTTCTTTGTTTGGTGCGGGGGCCATGGTTGGGAGGGGTTTGGATGCGTGCAAGGTGTTTGTGCTAATGTGTGAGAAAAGGTGGGTTGTGCTTGGGGGGTTGGGTTACAGATGGGGAATGGGGTTGCGAGACATGTGTGGAGGGGAGATTGGGAGAGTGACACGTGGAGGGAGTTGGGGCGACGGGGTTGTTATTGAATGCTATGTGGCGGCGCAGGAGTGAAGATTAGGCCAGCGACGCAGTAGGTTGAATGGGCGGGTTGGGAAATATGGGGTTGGGTTGGGTTCAGTTAGGGTTGGTTTTGAGTTGGAAGACGTCCGAACGGCCAACAGCTAGGCACCAGGTTATTGGGCGCCGACGTGTATGGTGAAGTGGCGCCCTACAATTGACTGTCCGGACGTGCGATTCAAAATTTTAAATCGCGTCAACAAATGATACTAATGTTTTATACATTAGTCCGTCAATTTATATGCTTTGATGTGATTTAAATGCTAAAGCAAATATAACTTATTAGATGTTAGGTATATCATCATGTGAATGCTCGAGTTGGAAAAAAATAATTGCTAAAATACCTAATCAATATAAAGATATATGCAAGAGTATGCTGATTAGAGGCAAACCATTAAATTAGAGATATGTTAAGAATATTCCTAATGTCATGACATTCTAAATATCAGTGTTACTTCTTAATTCCCTCTTTTTTTATTATATTTCTCTGAAGAAAAATTGCCCCTTTAGGTGTTAAAGTATATTGTGTTTGTTATTATTGCATGTTTAAATATTCGAGACTGTAGAGTGATTATTTAACGTGTTAGTGTTGTACGAAAGGCTGACACATACGGGTAATAGAGAGGCAGATAGAAACACAAGAAATTTTTACTTGAAAAACCTGAAAATGGAAAAAAAGTCACATGGTCTAAACAAATTAGAATGATTCACTGTAAGTTGGGGAGTACATGTACAAACGCTTGTTCCATAAGCTGGAAGGGGTTGCACACTTCCTCAAAGTAAAAAAGTTTGTATGCAGCATAACACATTGTACAACTTTCACGAGCAGTTGCAATTGAGAGCAATTGTCGGGATTTTAGTGCACTGATTTTGAGGTGCATCGTTGCATAGTATCTGAGACAATATGTTGCATTGTAGGGTGTTTCGTTACTCTGCGACTAGCTTGTTACTCCTCATGGTGCGTCATTGTAACGAGCAAGAGGCGATTGATGGTGGTCGATGGTTGAGCAGTGCTCAGAAACGAGAAGTGCTTATCAGACCTGCAGTCCAGAGCAACACTAGAGTTTGGCTCCTTCTTCCCTGTATAGTTCTTGGTTTAGCACCAAGTCTTTATCCCCTCTATTCTATTGAAGGTAAAGAGATTCTTTTATAGAGTTTGGGACTGGCATTCCCCTTAAATAAGGTAGAAATCCGAACCACTCCATCGGATTGCCAAAGTGATTCCCTTGATCAGATGATATTTCATAGATATTTAAGTGTTTTAATGGTGTTAGAATTAAGTGATATTAGACTCACTGGATTCGTCTCCTCAAGATGCTCAATTTGACTATAAACTCGTTAGATTTGGAATCAATTTGTCCCCTCAATTAACCACCCAAAACTTCCAAAGGTGGTTTAACAACTTGATTCGAGCTTGATTTGACTTGGATCAAACCAATTTTGGTGTCATTGGGTTTGTCTCATCGAGCTGATCAGTTTGATTATAAGTTTATTGAAATCAAAGTTCTAGCTGATTTTTAATTTGAGTTTGAATGTTTCTTTCTAAAAAAATACTCGGAGATTCATGTTAATTGCCTAAATATTCATGCAAAATGACAAAATTGATTGATGACGTATCAGTTGCCCTATTTTTGAGCAACTTGTCTTTTGTGTCTAAAAATTATTAAAATAATGAAGATTACTTTAAGTTTTTCAAAAATTCTACAAAAATTTGTGCTCGACGACGGAGATAGCAGACAACAGCCGACTGCGGGCGGTGGATGGTGGCGGTGGACTGTTTGCGATTGGTGGTGGTCAGTGGCGGGTTGCGATGTAAACAGTGGAAGGTGGATGAATGTAGTGAACTGAGGTTGACCGTAGTAGAGGCGTACAAGAGGAGTGAACAGACGGTCGGGCAGTGGTATGTGGGACATCGAAGGTGGACTAGTTCAGTTAGGCGGTGGCTGACCAGGTTCGAGTCGATGGCGACCCATAGGACTATGTTTGGGTTGCGACCGTGCCATGCGACCCAACTACATAATTGCGCAGATCGTATCCTTTATAGGGTTGTCACAAATCACGATCTAGTGGCTATCAATGATCGTTTCAGTCACTATATAGTGGTTGTTGGTCGAGCAATCAGGGAAACTTCATGTAGGTTGCACTTAGGATCACGAAATTGAGGATCTAGATCATGTGGAAGGCATTGGATTGAGTGATTGGCATGGTTTGCAGGTCAAAACCAAAATTTGATAGATTTGTGATTTTTTGGCCATTTTGTGAGAGGAAATAGTTTGAAGCCAAGCTTTTGTGCCACCTCCAGAGTTCCCTTGGTCTGTTGTTGTGCCATCAAAGGGGTTCCCATTGTCTGCTGTTGTGCCACCTCTAGAGTAAATTTTTTGTGCTTCAAGATGCCAATGTCTATGGAACACCCCCTCTCTGAGAACCAAAAGAAGTGCTAGAAGTCTGAGAAAGCTATATCAATTATGGCAGAGGATGATCTAATATTTTTCCAGAAGAAATTTCAGTTCCCGAACGACATGGTGGTGAAATTATCAACTTCAACTAATTGAGCCTACTCTCCTCCTTTAGGATATGTTGTTATTTAAGAGGCAACTTTGTGGGCCAGCCTATAATTTTTGTTGGCAATCAACTTAATGGACATTTTGAAAGTTGCTAGAATCAGCATTTCATAGCTCTTGTGATAGATGACAACAGTCATCATCGAGTTGATCACCTTCTTTCAGGAAGTAAGAGCTGATGTTGATGTCAGAGATTCTAGGTCAATTGAGCGGATTTGTTGGCAATGCTTATGGTCGGGTATCCTTCAGGTGCAAGGTATTCGATCTTCGGACAAGATCCAGTAGGGCACTGGTTTGTAGGATTTTTCTTTGTGCAGAATGACTTGGGATTTCATAAGAAATGAGAGAAAACACATCAACCGCCTATTTCTTTCCGATCACCAAAGATGAAAAACTATGCATGCTTGGATTTTGAGACTTCAAGGAGATGCAGTTTAAGGTGCAATACAATGTATATGACTTCGTGATCAAGGAATTTATGTTCAAGCCTGGACTTTCTTTCCATCTTAGGCTATCTCTACATGATGTTGAATAAATATGAGAAGATACACCTCGAGTCGGCTCCTCCAGCACCTCTAACGTAGCTCTTATAAGATAGTGACTGCGAGAAGCTTCTTCAAAAGCATAGTAAGAGAAGTGAAGAAGCAAAAAAAACCTTTGACCAATCCTTAAAATATTGATATTTTTGAGAGTCTAGTTCATTCGTGCATCATGCTTCATGAGGCTGAGAAATTTGTCGGTTTTTTCTTACATGCGTCAAATTTTGTTGCTACATATTTTTTTTATCCATGAGACATAAAATTATTTATTTTCTATAACTAAAATGATGAAACTTGAAGCAAGGTTCAACCTTTCTTTAAGAAAGTGGAACTCCAAATTTGTCAGAATCAAGTTTCTTCGAGGCGAGTACAAATGTCAAAAAGATTCTAAGGTTGAGGAAGTTGCGACCTTAGAATCTCAAGTGATGGAATATAAGACAGAGCTACCCATGATAATGACTTCCTTCTTGATGCAGCGTCGGGATTCAGAGAGTACTCGGGAAGATTTTGTGGAGGCACAAGCCAATCTTAGTTAGAGTACAAAGAGTCTGAAGGCTATGAGGTCAAAGATGTCAACACTTGAGGAAGAGATCCCTTAATTTAGGTCCATGAAGGAGGCTAATGTTGATAAAGTTGATCTGAGAGTTGTGGAGGATTTAGAGAGCTCAATTGAGCTCAAGAGCATAATTTAAGGTTTATTTAGAAAGTACACAATCATATACATGATATTGAGGCTGCAATAGGAGAGCGTCAAGAAGGCATTCATCTAGGGCTATCTAAAGGGGACTCGAGCAATGTGTCATCGTACCTTGGCTGACATAGAAAGACTTACCCCCATCCAGACTTCGAAAGACCCTCATTCTGATTCTGAAGGTAAGGGTATAGAGAGCAAGTTGAATATGTGTTCTTTAACTGCAATGAGGCGAATATCTGCGTTGTTTAGAATTATATCATTTTTCTACTTTTTTTTCTATTTTTTTCACATTTTTCTATATATTTGTTTTATAAGTTAGACTAATGTAGTCATTGGTGTTGTTATTTAGTGATTTTTATTTGTTGGTTTTTTATTCCTTGAATGTTTTTTTTTCATTATGTGTAGTCATTCCTCACTTTTATTTTTTTATTATTTTTTTTTTTTCGTGGGTGTAATATGATGTTCAGAATTTCTTGGCAATAAAGAATTTGTTCTGAAAAAAAAATTTTTATGAGGCATTCAAGTCATTCAAGATTGCGCATCAGAGTATCGCTCAATGATCTTAACTCATTCAAAAGAGGCTAATGAAAGTCCACTAAGAACATTTAACCCAACTAAGTTTGATATTTAAATTATTGCTTGCTTATTAACCTCTATGGAAGCAGTTGGGTGCAATCCACCGAGAACTTTTAACCTAACAGGGTTTGCTTAACGGAGCATCTCTCAACGATATTGGCCCATAAACAGGAGGGTAGATCAAAGCCCCTGAAATTGATCGTGCTTTGATTAAGATGCAACTAGAGTCGCATACTTCTCAAGTGAAGTGTTTTTGTTCATTTTAGTGAACTTTTGGAGTTGCCAGCTTGTCCTATCATTGTCGTATAATCATTTTTCCAATTAAGTCCCTCCTTATAGAGGAACTGGAGAGAAAGAAAATACGAAGAAAATAGACAACAAATTTAAAAAGAGCGTGGATAACTTTCGTAAGATAAACTTCGCGTGATAGCCCAATAGCGTATGTTTAAACAAGATCAGATCGAAAATGCTTTTGAAACATCAGCGAAGAAAACGCCATTTAAGCAATCGATAACAAGAGAATCAATTTTTTGTACTTATTCTAGGTCAATAACAGCTCCCAAAAGAATGTTTCCCTTTAGTTGATTATATCTTGAGGGACATCCAAGAATACCTTCAATAAAAACGGTATTGTTTACGAAATTTATGACATCCATTTTTTTTTAGAAACCAAAGAATTTTAATCATCCCGAGTAGGAGAATCACGATTTTTTTTTATACCTATATCTAGCCATAGGCCAAAGGGTAAATCACCATATTCACTACGTGCGGTGACACCTAAGCATGCAGGGCCCATGAGATGATATCAATGATTTTCAAATGAACCGACATGGCTTAAAATATATGTCAATAGAAAAGGGGAGGAATTCATAAGTAGGTAGAGGTGACCATGTTAGGATATCATTGATCCGTTATCCCAAGCTATAGATGCCCTAAATCTACCTGTTCGTGAAGGAAGTCTACCCAACCCGATCAGAGACCTATTCTCAGTAATCCATGAATTGTGTCATCTATGAGAATCTTGTTAGCCCTAAGTCCAGAGGAGAGAGACCTCGAATTCCCTATCACTCTCTAAGGGGTGGCATAAATAAATGCGGGATTTATACTCGTCAATTCGATGACGAAGATGTCTTTGGAAAAGAGAAGAGGAGAGTGGTCCGGCTACATAGCCGGAACCACCCCACAAAGGACTTATTCCCTAGTTGGGTCGAAGAAGTCTCTAACACACTAGTTGTTCTAGACAACCTCCTAAATAGAAATTTATACTTGGCTCAGGCAATCGAAGGAACATGGGGGCTCCTCTTCAAGAAATGCAAAATGATGCAGTTATCTGGAATTAAATTTAAATGTTAAGGCCCAATAAGGGATGATTTAAGTTATAGTTATGCAGTGCAGCTCGCTTTAAAACCGGCCCAAAGGTTATACAGGAAAGTAAAAACAGTAAGAAAACACTCATTTTAAAGTTGGGATATTTTAATCATAAATTTTGATATATCTTAAATTTTTTATTATTAGGATTTTTTGTTAAAAAATTATATTTTATTAATCCTAAATTTACATAGTCACGCCACAATTCTTATGTATTTATATATCTAACACCCAAAGTTTGATATTTACACATAACACTTTGATCGTTAACTTATTCATCAATATATATGCACTTCATTTTTAAAAAGATAACATTGATCACATTTTTTATGTTGTGTTAAGGATTTGGGTGATATGTATGTAAATATGAATATTTAGGTGTTAGATATATAAATGTACAAGATTTATGCTAGGTTCAAAAACTCGTTTAATATTTTATATGTATTTACATTGTATCACTGAAATATCAACTTAAAATCTTATATGTTTTATATATCTAAAGCCTAAATTTCATTGCAAAATAATAATAATAATAATAATATCATTTTTTAATATTAATTCTCATGAAAAGTGATATTTTTAAAAATTGTATGTAAAATCTTCGACCATCGTAAGTGAATGAAGTTTGGAGAATATATTAGGTCCGGACTCTGGATCATCAGGACTCTAGATCATCCGGAGTCCAATAAAAACACGTGACCCATCACAATCCAAAAACTTTCTGTGCGGACTCCTGCCGTACCTCTACGTGCGGCGCAGGGTATTCCTGAGTTATTTTCAGGTTATTTTTAGGTTATTTCGGAATTATTAACCCGCAGTATTTATTTTTTAATTATTTATAAATTATTTTAAAATTATTAAAAATAACTTAAAAATAATTTAAAAATAATTCAGAAATGACCAACACCTGTCCGGATAGAAAATGAATTCCATCACAATAAGCTATGTTTGCTGTCCGGATGTTTCTTGAAGCTTGGGAGTTGGGAGCCTTTTTCCCTCGTTCTTCTGCCTCCCTCGCGGTGAAACCGCCAAACCACTCTTTTCCCACAATTTTAATCATGAATTTAGTTCGATTTAACATTCCCAATCCTTTTCTTCATCCTCTTTCACATAGGAAAATTGCTGATAAATTCCAGGCACTACTCTGCTTCAAATCCCAAGAATTCTGATTCCCTTCTCCTCAAACGCATTCTCTCACAGCTATACAGATGATGGGAATGAATGCGTCGTCGAAGAGGAACAAGGCATGAATTCCTTGACAAATTTCATGTCATCGTGAAAAATCAAGAAGCATATGAATCAAATTTTGCTAAGAGGTTAATTCGTGATGCGTTCTTGCCATTCCCCAATGGCCGGAATCGATGCTGCAGATTATTTTCACAGCCCGGTGCACAAAGCCGTAGTCACTCGCGACCATGCTGCCCTAGAAAAAATTCTTGCCTCCATCCCCTGCATCTCCCTGCCTTCCCCAACACTGACCGAGGTCGAATCCATTGCCGAAGAAGAGAAGGCTAATGCCGTTTCCGCTGTCATCGATCGCCGCGATGTACCCAAGCGTGAAACCCCCCTTCACCTCGCCATCAAACTCGGCGACGGCACCGCCGTCCAGATGCTCATGGCCGCTGGGGCGGATTCCAGCCTCCAAAATTTGCAGGGCTGGAGTCCTCTTCAAGAAGCCATCTGCGCTCGAGAGGAACGCATCGCAAAGATCATTCTCCGGCATTACCAGTTCATAGCCTGGGTCAAGTGGCGTCGCCGAATGCCGCGCATTGTCGCTGCTATGAATCGGATGAGAGATTTCTATATGGAAATCAATTTCCATTTCGAGAGCTCCGTGATCCCTTTTATATCAAGAATCGCTCCATCTGATACCTACAAGATATGGAAGAAGGGATCGAATCTAAGAGCAGATATGACGCTCTCCGGATTCGATGGTTTGAAGATTAAACGAGCCAAGCAGAGCGTTTTGTTTTTTGGTGAAGGTTCGGTTGGGGGGAAAGTGAAGCCCGGTAGCTTATACATAATATCGCATAAGGATAAGGAGGTACTCGATGCTTTGGATAGAGCAGGGGGCATGGTTTCTGATGCTGAATTGCAACAGGAGTTTGATGCTCTGTCGAGAACCAGTGTTCTTCGACCAGGGCTTGATGTCACAGGTGCGGTGCTAGTTCCACAGCTGACTTGGAGAAATCAGCAAAGGTCAGAAATGGTTGGGCCATGGAAATCTAAGGTGTACGCTTTGCATAATGTTGTTGTTAGTATGAAGTCGCGGCATGTTTCCGGTGCCATCAATGATGAGGATCTCAGCACTACTTGCAAGAATGATGAAGAAGATGCTGCATTTGGTGATATGCTCACTGAGGAGGAGAGGAAGAGATTGGAGACTGTTTTAAAGATGGAAAATTCAGATTCTGCCGATTTCGATGAGCAAAAAGATCAGGGCTTGGTTGTTGATATGGCTTATGGGGGATCTAGTCATGTAAATAAAGAGGGGAATGGGGAGCTTGAGCATTGGAATAATGGTGAAGCTTCCAATCATGATGTTGAGAAGAAGGATTTAACTTCAAAGGAGCCTCTCTTTGGTGAAGAGAAGGTGAATGATCTCCTAGAAGGCTCGTCTGAGATGCCAAATAAGCAAGCAATGAATTCAAATGATAGTAGCATAAATGAGTCCAAAGAAATTGGTGCAAGTTTGGAGGATGCTCATCAACACAAGGAGAGTGAAAGAGAGATTGAATATAGCAAAGGCTTAAAGCCAGTTCTATGGCTTTCTCCTGATTTTCCTTTGCAAACACAGGAGCTTCTCCCTTTGCTGGATATTCTTGCAAATAAGGTGAAGGCTGTACGTCGTTTGAGGGAGCTGCTTACCACTAAGCTTCCAAGTGGCACTTTTCCAGTGAAGGTATGCAGAAGTATTATTTGTTGTTATGTTTAAGTTTTCACATTTAGGACTTGTTGTGCGTTGGTTTGCATGTTTTTATTTTCCTTTGCATTTACACACAAATAATTGTATTTGTTAAGTTGTTACGGATCCTTTATTAATGCGGCATTCTCCTATAATTTTGCATTATGCTTTCTCTAGATTTATTAATTAGATGTTTCATTATTGATATTCCCTTATTGTCTTTCTTTATGCCTCCCCCACAAAGCCTCAAGTACTTTGTATGAGTTTGTAGTAGGCGGTCCTAGCAATTACTACATTCTTCATTAAATTCATATGAAGAAGGTGGTCCTAGCAATTCCGCAGAATATGGACTGGTTAAAACGATGAACTTTACCCTTAATAAATGTGTAGGAAGCTTGAGATTATATGCAGGTTTTTTTAAGACTTTTGTAGATGCATTAAACTCAATGTTATACCTGATCTTTCAATGGCCATCAGTTCGCTCAGCTTGGAGCTTTGTGAAAAAGCTTCGGCTGGAAAGGAGATTGCTTATTTTATATTTATGCTGATATGATCACAAGCGATGAAATTGACCCAAGTTTTAAGAAATACTATTTAATTGGATGTGGTAGAGATGAATTTTGGATACAGATTGTACAACTATTAGTGTAATAAAATTGTTAAATGTAAATGTTAAAAATGGAAGTTACTTTTAACTTAAATTCTTTACTTGTTCTTAAAGCTCATTTTTATCTTTAACTGTATCTACCACTTTTATTTATATAAATTCTAAAATTAAATTTTTACTTTAACTTGAACCGAAACATTTACAAATCATCCCCCACAACAAATCCTATAACAAGCTCTGGGACAAAAAAAAGTTTAGTGAAACATACATGGTAAACAAAGAATAAAAGATATGCTAGAGTAAAACTTAAGGTAACAAGAATAGAAGTGAACTCGAGTCTAACAGCGTGCTCATCATAGATAATAGCATAAACAGAGAAACATATCACATCTCAACACCATCACGAAATAAACATCACATCACAGAAATCTGAAGTTCACATCAAGCTCCATAAGCAGACGAAAATCCATGTCCAAGCACTATAAAAATACAACAAATACAAAAGCAGTCACAGTTTGAAGTCATAACATCACAAAGATCAAGCATTTTTGCCTGCAGTATCATCATCATCCTCATCATCCCCCTTTAGTTTTAAGAGCCATATCAAAGCAAGAAACGAGGGACAAAAAATCTAATGTAGAAGAAAAACTTTTTGGATCAGGTTGATATGAAATTTAACCTCTTGCTTAAAATAAATCCTTACTCCCTCCCATCTTTTCTTCAGCTTTCTAATGTATTTGGCTGGAATAGCTTGGGAGGTTGAAAGATGTTCTAATGGTTGAGAATAGAAATGGAAGCTTTCAAATGGTGAAGAGAGGTTCACTTGAGTCAAAGAAGGAGAGAAGCAATTAATTATAAAAGATTGCCAATTGGATAACAAAATCTAGGAAATCTGGAGTGGATAAGGCTAGGTGGCGAGTGGATGTGGGGTGGTGTTAGGGCCCTCGGTTTAGACGACTCAGGGGCGCATGAAGAGCTGCAAGTGCGCCTTGCTTTCGATTGGAAAGCGCCAGAGCATCTTGATGGCGCAGGAGGCTAGATACTTGATAATGTCCCTTGGACAGTGTGCTTTAACCTATATGTTACTTGGTAACATCTCTGGGACAACATGCTTTAATCTAATTGTTATGCTAAGCTTTCCACTGAAACTCATAGATGACAATAAATTTTAACAAATAAACTAGCATGGTTGAAGGTAAATGAAGAGCAAAAAGTTAAAACATCACAATTACACATGTTTAGATCAACAACATAACAAATAAATTTCCAAAATCATAGATTACCAATCTAAGGGAGAAATAGAAATTCCAGTGCTACTCATGAAATTAAACAATAAAAGCACGATTTCATTCATCAATTTAGAACAAATATAAGAGCTTAGGAAAAAACCTAACAAACATTGTTCTCGAGATTGTTGGAGAACAAACTTCTTTCTTTGCTCTACGAAATCACTTTGTATCACTCACAGATTATAATATACATTTATCATACACCTGTCTCACAATCCCTCTATCCATTCCTTCACGCTCTCACCACATTTTGGACGCTTCGAATAATGCTCTGGGAATCACCACTCTGCTCTCCCTCGAATTCGATCCCCCTTCCCATTTTTTAAGCCTTCTGTGATGCCACATAGACAGTAAACCGCATAAATTCCCTATTTTGGCTGACAGTGCATGACTTCCCGTTGCAATGCCAGGTTTTTCAGGCTCTTTGCATGCTTACCCTTAAACTGACACCTTGACGCCAAACTTCCCAACTCTGTGTGTTCATGCCAAAGGGAGAGGTGTCAAGTTTCCAAGACTGGCGCTAGACTTTCTGCTTCTGGCACCAAACTTCTAACTTTGGCACCACATTTCTAACTTTCCTTTCTACCTGTATCGTGCACAAACAAGCATAAATACTCAAAAAAAGCATAAAATTGACAATCCAAGAAAAAATATAAGAAAAATTACATCACGTTTTCTTCACATTAGATATTTAGCATTGTTAGAACTTCGAGAGGAAAATACTTGACCTTATGATCGACACTGTAATAGTTGAAGCACTTGTTGACAACCGAGTTGCAAGTTCTAGAATGTCATTTTCCGTATTGAACATAAATTTGATTTAACTTTTACTTGTGTATCTGATGATTATGGTGTTACTTCTTTTGAGAACTCCTATTTCCTTGTTTATATGAATTCTTCTATTTTAAGCATGCTTTTCCTCACAGTCATTAATGTCTATTTGCGCATGAATAACTTTGTTATATAGCTCCTTGTAAGTCTTACACTTTTCAACAGATGGGCACCTCTGAATTTTCTCTCAGGCCAACAAGTATGTGATGGATCTTATGATCTTCATGCTGACTAATTGATGAAATGAATCTCATGATCCTAGTGAGTTGCGTCTCATACCCTCGAACATTCTTCACCCCTTGCTCCAGCTTCCTCAAGTCATTCATGAGTTTAATCCGGTCCTCCATAAAAAAATACCGCTCTAGGAATTGTCTCTTGAAATTGTTCAAGAAATTATTGCATATTATCCAAAAGTTTTGTGGTAGTGACCCTCACCAATCATCAGCTCTTTCAAGCAGTTGGAATGTAGCAATGTTCATTTTACAATATTCATGACACTTTATACTTCGAAGCCTCTTCTCGATATCATGAAGCCATGTGTCGAATTCGATCGGGCTTGACGTGTTATTGAAGGTACGGTGATGTGTCTTAAAAAATTAGTCCATCACTCGATTCATGATACTCCCATTGACCATCATATTGATTGATTAGGTTGTGCATCCATGATGGCTACCGATGGTATAAGTTGAGTTGTTTGTGGTGCAGGTTGCACCGCTTGTTGGATAGCCTAAACTCTTTGTGCAATTTGAGCTGCAAAGCTGGCTTGCCTGGGTAATGTTATGTGTCACCATCTCCACGCGAGTCATATAAGATTTGCTGCTCCAGAAGTGTCGATGGGTCGAACAAGATTAGCACGATGTCGACTAGGGGAGTGAAAACCCCTTGGGATAGGTAGGTACCGCTTCTATAGCAGCCCTTGGGATTCCTATTGCGCAAGTGGCTGTAGCACCTCTTATCTTTAGAACCATTCTAAACAATTAAAATATATGCAAAATCAAAATCGACTATATAACTAATAAGAATAACCTTTCCTCTTCCTAGCCCTAAGAAGACAAGGAATATGGAATGCAAAGATAAAAAGATGTTGAATACAAAATAAAGGCTTTGATACCATCTATCACATCTCGGGATTGGAAGACAATGACATAGAGCGTGATGAAAGGATGTGAACTTGTTTTGTATTCTCAAAAAAAAATATATATATATATATATATATATATATATATATATACACACACACACACACACATATACGCAAGCAATGACAGAAAAAAAAACAATAAAGATAAATTTTTTTCATAAATAAAAGTCCAATTGATACAAGTGAAAGAAAAACAAAACTAAAACAAACTAAAACAACGGTTGGAAACAACTACCCAAAACCCAAAAGAAAAAATGTAATAACTAATACAAAACTAAAAATACCAAAAGAAATCTAGAACTGAAATGTCTGCTCTATGGAGACGGTCTTACAAGTGGCTGAATATAATTTGTTATATAAAAATATCAATGAATGAGTTTAATAAATAAATTTTGTAATTAACTACTATCTATTAAAACATATACGGCAAGGAATTGAGGCACGTAGTATGAACAATAAAAATGAGCAAGTACGATATGCATTTATGATATCAGAAGGCAACAAGAGTGTTATAAACATGAAGATGCTCAATTATCTTAAGAAAATATGTAATCATTTCCAATTTGATTAGCAGCTTTTCATTATTTACTTTCAATTCAATTTATTTTTATATAATCAATTTTATCTTACGCTCTAAAACCGGAAAGGTAAATCTCAATCCAAGAAAACTTGGTGATTTCCTATAAAGTCGTCACTTTGTGAGTCTGCCGGCCCGATCAGCCAATATCCAAAAGAGTTTCATCAACTTACAAGTCATTGCATACAAGCATGCATAATTACAATTTTTTCCACAACTAAATATATAAGCGATATGCTAATTTACACAAACCGGTGATGTGACAGAAATGTAAATGCAATTCATAAATGTAAGGTGCATGAAAAGAAAGCATTATAATTGTAGGATTTAGTCAAATATGCAAGAAGTTGTGCAACAATGAAATAAGGCGGTTAATTACTTCATTATGAGCAATAAATGAAACTTATAACAAGTGCAAAATAAGAAACATAAATGAAGTTGCAGTGGCATGACTGACAATCCTACAAACGCAACTAGAAATTTAAAACAAATAACAATACCCCTAATGATGAAGAGTATGTTTATCACAAAATAAATAATGGTTACTTACCT